GTCAACATCTGTCATTGACATTACTTTACGCACTAGTGTGTGAAGTGAATTACTTTACGCACTAGTGCGTGAAATGAAATTTCACGTCTTCGGAATAGTGCGTAAAGTGAGTACTTTACGCACGATAGTAGAAAAAAAATATTTGATAGCTAAAACCAAAGGAACTATTATTATGTCAATCGAGCCAAAAGATTAAGTTTTCACATCCTGCATAAGTTTATTTGTTTTGGATTCTTAAGTTATCTTCGACTGTATCTCCCTACTCCCAACTACTCAACCTATGACAAACTCAAAAACTGTTTCAAAATCAGAAAAAAAGCGCATATTTTTAAGCTACGGTCAATATTTACAGCTATGGTTCAGAGAAAATTGAAGAAAACCAATTCAATTTATTTTCCTATTTTTTTTTTGACAGAAATACTACCTGTCAAAATGGTTTCATATTTTTATTTCATTCTTTAGTCCAAAACAAAGGTATTTTTTTTAACTTGACGAAAATCGGTTTATAAATAAGAAAGTTGCGATTTTTTTCAAGAATAGCACAGCCGCCATCTTCAATTCATCATGGCGGAAAAAGCAAACCTCCTAGGAGGTGTAACTTTTTTTTACTATTAATGGGTACTATCATCTGTGAAAAAATCAGCTTGATTTCAAAAACTTCTCCTAAAGGCCATTTTTTCAGCTAACTGCCCTAGCCTAAATAGCATATTTAAATTTCATCGAAATATCACGGGTAACCAATTTCCATTTTTAAATATTGCTGGGTCCTTTGTTTAAATCCTTAAAAGGTTAAAATAATTGCTTATATCTTAAATGAAATTTGAGCAAATTGGAATAAATTATATATCATTAGAAAGAGCACTAAATGCTCTATAAATCCTGCTAAATTGGTTCTGATAGCTCGAATGCTTTTTGAGCGATTGAGCCTCAAAGTTGAACTTCAGTCAAAAGACAGGTTACTTTTTAATTTCCCAAATTCGCCCATTTTTATTTCTGTTTCAGTTTAACTAATAAACAAAATGAGTTCTACAAAGCTATCTGTTGTAGATGGCCTAGAACAAAATATGCAAGTATTTAATAAAATTTTCTCTCATCAAATTAACATTCATTTATATTAAAGAAAATTTAATGGGCCTCAAGCTGAATATGTAACAGCATTGCGTGGGCAAGTAGTGAACATTCAATGTAATGACGGGACGCACAATCATGGAAGTTCCAAAGTTGAACTCGTAGACAAAGGAGACTACAATGCGGCATCTAATTATTGCCACATTCGTCTTGTTGCTGCTCATATTGGTGGAAAAATTTATGCTTATGCTACTAAAATCGAAGGTACCTACATATATTTTTTTTTTCATTTTTTTATATTTGTATATTTTTTTTTGAATATCATCCTATAAGGCTAAAAAAAACCTCTGCTTGTTTTGTCAGTAACTAATTAATCAAATGAATAATAATTTAAATTGAATAGGCTCAGATAATGTCGATCCAGACTTTTTTTCAGGCGAAGTTGCTGCCCTCATAAAAATTGCCCATCAAGATTCAAGTATAAGAAGCGTGTCAGTTGAAAATCTGAAAGAGGATATTGAAGATTTGTCATTTGCCACTTCAACTAAGGAAGTAATCCTTGGTAGTGTTGATTCCCAGGGAAACATTTTCGTTTACCAAATTAATGAATTCCATGACGAATTAAAGTATGCTTTTTCTCTTTTTACATTATCAGCTAAATAATTTTTCCATTAACATAATATAGCTTCACCGTCTTGCTGCAATATAATGAAAGAAGAGATTCAGTAGGATTACTAGGATTCACTAACTTTAGATTATGTTGGTGCCCATCTGTACCAAATCCTGATGAACTGGATGGATATGATAGAAACTTGGACAAGCCTGAACAGATGTTTGTTGTGCTCAATAGTTGGACAGGCAAGTGCATTCATCAGTTTTCATGGAAAAGAATTTTGAATTCACGTTTGGTTTTCAGCTGAAATTTATAGCCTAGCAAGACTGAGAGCTAGATATGGAAATTCAGGCATCATCATCCAGCCCGATAGTTACTACGCAGGATACACAGAAATCAAGCATAATTCAAGTTTAGTTGATGCTTCATTTTCTGCTGATGGTTGGGCTATTGCGCTAGCCTATGAGGATGGATACGTGAAATTTTTCAAAGTTGGCAATCCCGATGCTGGAAAGTTTTTACATGAATGCATACCTCATGAAGGAAAACCAATAAGTTCAATCAATTTTATTGATGACAAAATACATTACAAATAGTAAGTATCTACTTCTTACAATTTTTTTTTGTCAATCAGTTTTAATCCGTATTCTAATAGCTGCTGGGAGTTTGTAATAACTGGAGCCGATTACAACACCGAATTAAAATTCTGGTCTTGCATAACGTGGAATTGCATGCAAACAATTAATTTTCTTGTGAACCCTAGAAGTTCTATACCTGAATTATACCTTAATGCCTCTTCAGATCTTGTAGGAAAACATCTGATAGTTACAGATTCAAACAATCGAGGGATTTATATAATAGAGTTATTCAAGTGAGTATAGATTTTTCTTTGTTATTTTCTACTAAAGTTATTTACTTCAGGAATGAAGAAGACAACGTATTTTGTGCATCACAGTTGGCGCACTTTTTAGTACCTGCGCCAATGTTAAGTTTTGTCCCACTAAAAGCCGTTCCCAGGAACTTTCCTCCTCATGTACGATGTTTGAAATTACTGGTAATCCAGCCAGAAAAAATCCGAGAATGTACAATTACCTTTCTACCAGAAGAGTTAATGCACGACAGTTTAGTGGTTACTGAGACAATCGTTGAAACCGAGACAATGGACGAAGCGCCAGAAGCTAACAGGTGAGCATGATTATCTTTGAAGTACACGTTTTCAAAAATACCTTCTTCTCAAAATTCGAAAACAGACTTGGAAGTCTGTCCAACATATTGTTCCAAAATTCACTGTCATTTGTAGCTTATTTTACTTTACTCATTTTAAATGAAGTATAAACCCGCAAACTAAACTACTCAACAATAGGTTCGTTCCAAGTATAAATTTCACCAATTTTTGAGACGCGACAACTTTTTAATGAATTAACGGAAAAATATGCCGTTTTCACCATTTTTGAAAGCGATTTCTTGTTAATCATCTGACTGTTTTTTTTTATACAGGCTGATACAGGAAGTGCGGTAAAAACCCAAAATTTTTGTTGTTACCTTATCTCTACAATATTTTTATTTATTTTTTCTAGGCATATCCGAATGATTGTTATGTTCATCCCACGAAACGTTTTTGGATTTTTTCTTATATCTTTTTTTGTTTATAAAATAATGCAAATTTAGTGTTATAATGACACCCAGAGCTTCGAACCTATCGTCAACAAGTTTAAGCAGCAATTTTTAGGATCCGCTAGTTTGAATTTACTTGCTATGATCACAATAGGAACTAACTGACGTGAAAAAGCTTTATACAAAACAAACAGGGAATGCGAGGATACTTCAAACTTAAAATTTCAAGTTTTGCATAATTTTGCCATTTTCTACAGAAAAGAAAGTGTCAAGGACGGAAAATACATTTTGACTTACTTTCAAGGCTTTATATCACTTCTGCAATGTAATTCCAATGAACAATTTCGAGGTTTTTTTGTCATCCATTTTTTCAGAAAGTTTTACGTCATTATTTGTAATCCTATAAAACAATAATTGTTTCCTCAATTTCTTGATATTTGCTGCCGTCAACAGGTCCTAAATGAATAACTATTTCTACTTGCTAACATTTTGGACGAATTCTAACTTGTGTACAGGGTGTCCCCAAATCATATGCTTTTTAGATGAGGCTACTTACTGTATGATCGGTTTTACAAAATAAACAAATTAAATACCTACCTTTATTAAATTGCGAAATTCAAAGGAGACTACACATTCACTGGGTGATTGATTTGGGGACCCTCTGTATACAAATAAAAATTCGTCCAAAATGTTAGCAAGTAAAAATATTTATTCTTTCATGTGGCAGCAAATATCAAGAAATTGAGGAAACAATTGTTTTATAGGTTTACAAATTATGACGTCCTTGACACTTTCTTTTCTTTAGAAAATGGCAAAACATAGGACTGCACTATTTGAAAGATCCTTCAGTTACAGTGCAGCAAAATTTTTCAAGCCGATTCCAAAGATTATTAGGCCCCGAATGCTTTCCGCTTCAGGAGGCATCTGGCGGAATTCGTTAAGTCTAGATGAACTGATGCACACTCTCAATGTTCAATTTCTGATCTCATTCTCCACATTATAGTATTGTATATGTAAAATATCTTGATAAATTCAAATTTCCTAGTCTTAATCTATCTGTATTTTTAGTTTTTAAAGGTAATATCTTTTGATGAGGCGGTTATATGGAAGAGCATACTTGTACGAATATCACCTCCTTCTCACTTTGGAAACTTATCTTTTGTTATATTTTTATGTACAAAATAAAGGCACTTTATTATTATTATTATTATTATTACCGATTTATGATAATCAATTAAACCACTAATAATTACTCTTGGTGTTTTCAACATATTTTTGATAGAAAATTACTAGGAATATAAATTAATCCAATTTTCAGCATCCAAGGCATGGACCTGCACGACATTGGAAAACCGCTCAGTCCCAAAATGGAAATGTGTTCAACATCTACTCAAGTCACCGAAGAAGATTTACAAAACAATGAAAAGGTAAACGAGCTCTCTAGACCTATGGCTTGGTAAAGTCCATATGTGCAAGCTATTGCTGTAGAAATGACTAAATAACATCAAACTTTTGCTGATTACCAGGAAAAGATACCAAAGCAAGAAATGTTATTAAATCACATATGAACTTTGTTATGTTGTAGATCGATTTTCAACATATCTGTAATTTGCCATTTAAATAATGTTCGAGCATTGTATGCCCAAGCAAATGCAAAAAAGCTATAAATCCAATTTAAACTCACCATTTTTCAAACATGACTGCTACCACATCTGATATCCCTCTATTCTCAAAACATACAAACAAAAGTTACACAAATACTTTTTACATTGTGACATACATATTTCCTTCGCTTCTGCTACAATATAAGTACCTAGTAAATATTTTTATTCCTTCAATACAGCACAAATTACTTAATTTTCATTTCATTTTTTTAGGCCGAAGCTTCATTTAACATTGAGACATAGGACTGTTACACGCAGTAATATGTGAGTAATTTATTTTTACTAATGAATAATTTATATTGTTTTGATTTCTTTCTTTTAATTTATATACACGCTTATCCAATATTAACATTATATTTAAGTGGAACAAAGTTATCTGCAGAGCGGTAACATTATTAGTTAGGATTTAGTTAAGAGGATATTCACTTTAATCAAAATCTTGATTGATTTATTGCACCAGAGGTTACGATTCAGCTTACTTCTGCTCTATGGTTAATAATAATTTGTTTATAGTACTTAGCTAACTACTTTTTTTTTAAAATCTTTCGAGTTTGTCCCTTTACGTTTTTATTTGTTGGAAACAATTTTTTATTATTAATACAAACAGCTAATACAATGTGCAAATAAAACATAAAAAGGTACTAGACCAAATTTTTATTAAGATAAAATACAATCAATAAATATAAAACTATGCAAACTCAAAGACAGATCACATACACCCATAGCATGCAATGGATAATAAACCAGAAAGGTTTTAATTTTGCATTAATTAAGCCATTACTTGGTGACAATTGGAATCCATGGTTGGGAAGAATTAAAATAATGTCTACTATATTTTCACTAAATTTCATAAAGAATTTCATTCCCAAACATCAAAATGAGTCGACTGAAACGACCCTAAAAACAGCTTTCTTGTGGAGATTGCATCAGTTATGTTGATTTCACTTCAAAACAGTGATTTTTTTTCATGATAAAATTATAGGTACAATTACTAAGACTATGTACATTTAAAAACTTCCAGATTTTGATTTAAAACATTTAATTCTACAATAAATAAAAAATATATGCACTATTCATGAAACTGAGTTGTATAGCAAACCCAGCAACAATCTTAATTTGATAAGCTTAACTCTTAAGATATTTTATTAATTTTAACTAGATATAAAATTAAGTGGCATATCTACTTAAATAATTAAAGGCCGAATTTTAAAATCGGCCCAAAAATAATTCTGATGCACAATGTAGGTAATCATTTTTTTTTTTTTCATATTTCCTTTTTTCTTGTATTCGTCAAATGTTTTTCTCATATCGATAATCAATGCCTGATACTTATGAATTCGGTCTTTTTTTCTTTAAAAAGTGTGAAAAATCATGGTGAATGGAAACCCTTAGTTTTTAGAGTTTTCTCGCAGGTGACCTTATTAGGTGAGTTTTTATAGGCTACGACTTTTTTTTTTGCTAATGGCAGTTAATTTAACCGGAACCTATAAAGACGAACCTAATAATTATTGTAAAGTGGTCCAGCAGAAATCTTAATTAAGGTAATAATAAGTATTGCTGTATTTCTGATTTCATAATGAATTATATTTTCTTATATCTGATTAGTACTTAAGTTTATGTTAAATAAATATATACGTAACTATAATTTCAGGGATTTATTTATTCAGAGCCTGGATTTTGGGTTTCAGTTATTTCAGAAAATTCACTAGAAAAAAAAAACCTAAATTTTGCTGTCCTTAGAAAGTCTGATAATACTTTCAAGGTTTGCAACACTGTAACTTCAAGATATAAGTATAGGTAATATGAGCTTACATCCATCATTATGAAATTCTGGAAAGGAAAATCAACATTCTAAATTGAAAGACTTTATTTTTCGACCAAGTTATGCATATTGTTGAAGGCAGAATGTCGAGAGGTAAACCGCAGGTCAGTTTTTGTACACCAGATTGTTTTGATCTCTTCGGAACTTGATGAACACACACAATAAAATTGCGGAACGCCCAAAAAGTCGTTCATAATTGGGTATGACCAATTTTGACTTCTCAACAATTATTCCGACTATTGTAACAAAATTTTCAAACAACAAACGTGATTTCAACGACAAGTGTAAGTACACTTATCTAAAACTTTGGAAAAATATTATAAGTTTTGATCTTTGTTTCCAGATGTGAACTGCACTTGTGTCATTTTTCCATACCATGATTTACTACGTTTGTGAAAACTTGCCGATTGTATTCCAGCAGTTTATTAGAAATTATGTTGAAAAGAGAGAGTCATTCAAAAAAAGAGAATTTGCAACCACTCTTCAGAATCAAGGCTGATTCCAGATAAATTCAATCAAGTATGTCAAAAAATAAATTGAAAAATCTTCTGCTTCAATTTTTGCTTACCAAGATTCAGTATTTATCCTAGGTGGATGTATTTGCTGACTTTTCCCACAGAGAGGTGAGTTTCAGAGAAAAAGTCAACAAATACATCTACTCATAGATAATGAAGCTCAAAAATTGACTTGTACATCGATTTTGTAAACATTATGCTCGATTTGTTTCTAGCTCATGGACGAAAACGAGAACAGAATACATGATGTTCTGTACCATTGTATGTCCATGTTTTATGTAGCAAAACCAAAATACGTGCGCATATAATGGTGCCGCGCATTTTTTACTACATGCCAGAGAAGCTGAGAGTTAACCACGCTCTCCAGTTGATCCCGGTGATTCCCACTATCGTAACAAAATTTTCGAACAACAAACGTGAGTCCAACAACGACAAGTGTAAGTACACTTATCTAAAACTTTGGAAAAATATTCTAAGTTTTAATCTTGGTTTCCAGATGTGAGTTGCACTTGTGTCATTTTCCCATACTATACTATTTACTAAATTTGTGAGGACTTGCCGATTGTATTCAAGCAATTTGTCAGAATTTCTAGTGAAAAGACAAAGTCATTCCAAAAAGAAGAATTTGCACCCACTCTGCAGAATCAAGGCTAACACCAGATAAATTCAATTGTAGACCAGAAAAAGACTTGGTAAGTTCGAAAAGTATGTTGAAGATTAAATCAAAAAGAAATTCCCCACAAAACTGTCGAGCGAAACCACTAGTGGACAAGATTTTAAAAATCTTCTGCTACAATTTTTGCTGCTTGGTTGCTTTAAACAAGCTTCAATATCTATCCTATTAGGTAAATGTTTTTGCTGACTTTTCCCAAAGAGTGAAAAAGTCAGCAAATACATCTACCCATAGATACTGAAGCTTAAAAATTGCAGCATTGTCTCCAGGAATTACTTTGAATAGCTGATCATCATGATGTTCTTGTACCAAAACCAAAATGCATGAGCATTTAATGGTGTAGGGCATTTTTCACTACATGCCACAAAAGCTAAGAGTTTTTTTTATCACGCTCTCCAGTTGACCAGGTTACGTTGCTTTTACCAAACTTCAATATTTATCCTAGGTGAATGTATTTGCTTATTTTTTCCAAAGAGAAGTGTCTCAGAGAAAAAGTCAACAAATCTACCCATAGATACTGAAGCTCAAAAATTGACTCGTACATCGATTTTGTAATAATGTTTTCGATTTGTTTCTAGCTCATGGACAAACACGAGAACAGAATAATCTGCAACATCGCCTCCAGGAATTACTCTGAATGGCTGACCATCATAATGTTCTGCACCATTGTATGTCCATGTGTTTCTGTAGCAAAACAAAAATACATGTATATATGATAGTGCCGCGCATTTTTTTCTACACGCCAGAAGAGCTAAGAGTTTACCACACTCTCCAGTTGATCAGGTTACGTCGCAAAATTTTATTGAAATTTGGTAGAATACCAATGGTTTGTGTTAGTTATTGTTGAGTTTTACATAAAAGTTGTGTACAATAGTTCTTTTTTTTTAACGTCCCATTTTGCTGTAATTCTGATCTTATAATACTGGTTGTAGTCAAACTTAGAGAGACCAAGTAGTAAACAATTCCAAGGTTTTGTTCATATACAGTATGTCCCACTTTTCATGAATACACCCCTATATCTCAGTTAGTAACAATGCGATTTTATTCAAATTTTGGTGGTGATTGTATGTTAGAAAAATGAACTATTTGCTATAGTAAACACTTTTATTTACCATTGGCGTGCAGTGTTGGGGGGGTGAAAAGGGGTTGTATTTTCGGGAAAAAGATATTAGGGCATATTTAAGATAATTTTTTGTATCAGATTAAGAATCAACGTCCCCAAAAACCCCTTAATTCATATTTTAAAAATCTTCAAAAATTATTTTAGCACAAAAATTAATAAATTCATTTTAATTTACATTTTCTAATAAGCTGTTTATTTCTAATTAGAAGGTAGCTATGTTTAAAATACGATATTCTAAAATAATGTCATCTGTAATTTGGTCATCACAATTTGAAATAAGCAACTTATTAGAAAAAGCAAATTAAAATCTATTTTTTTTTTTGTAAAATCAGCTCTTCAGATTTTGAAAAAACATATGAGTTAAGGGGTTTTTGGGGATGCTAAATTTTAATCTGATGCAAAAAATTATCTAGAATAGGCCCTAATATCTTTTTCCCAAAAATACAACCCTTTTTCACCCCCTAACACGCACGCCAATGGTAAATAAAAATGTTCACTATGTCAAATAGTTCATTTTTCTAACATACACTCACCACCAAAATTTAAATTAAATCGCAGTTTTAATAACTGAGATATCGGGGTGTATTCATGAAAAGTGGGACACACTGTATTTGAAACCAAAAGTTTTGATTTAATTTTATTGATTTCTTGTCCTGTTTAAACTTGCTTGTTCTCATTATTTTTGTCCTGTCTTCGACAGGTTTAAGCTTGAAAAGTGAAGCGACTTTTCTTCGTATTATTAAAACTTCAACTTCATTCCCAGCTTCTTGAAAAAAAATATACTAATTTCAAATATGTGAACTCAAGTCTTGGGTCTTAAAAAACCAAAACTTGACGAAATATAATTGTATACTAATTTGTGTTTTTTGAAAGTAGGTACTTAAAGGGGGCGTGACCCTAAAAACCGACTTGGGCTACTTAAAACAAGAAAAAAAATCTAAGATCTCTCGAGAAAACCGCAGTTCTATATTCAAAATAGTTTCCGAGAAAACTCCTTGTAAAGACAAATTATGCAGGAGTTTGTTACGTCACAACCGCCGAAATCGCAGTCTTCAGTTCGTTCAGTCGTCAGTGAACCGTACTCTATACTTGAGTGGTTGCAATGCGCTCTAGTGAGATAATTGCCTTTTGTTTTGGAAAATTTTTACACGTGTTAGTACTGTGCCTGATAGTTCAGTGTGAGGTCACAAAAACCTAGTTGTAACTTTAAACCGCCCTAACTCGAAAACGAATTATCGTAGCAAGATGCGGTTTGAATATTTATTCTTAGATTTTTTTGCACTATAACTTTCGTTTTTGGGTCACACCCCCTTTTTAAGTTTATTTTGAATAAATATATAACAATCCTGACAATGTAAAAACCCCCTCAACAGTTATTCCCACTATCATAGAAAAATTTTCAAACAACAAACGTGATTCCAACAAATACATTTATCTAAAACTTTTACGATTCCTTTCTAGCTCATGGACAAAAACGCAAACAGAATAATCTGCAACATCGCCTCCAGGAATTACTCTAAATGGCTGATTATCATGATGTTCTGCACCATTGTATGTTCATGTGTTTCTGTAGCCAAACAAAAATACATGGATATATGATAGTGCAGTGCATTTTTTTCTACACGCCAGAAGAGCTAAGAGTTTACCACGCTCTCCAGTTGATCAGGTTACGTCCCCAGATTTTATTGAAATTTGGTAGAATACCAATGGTTTGTATTAGTTATTGTTCAATTTTACAAAAAAGTTGTGTACAATAGTTCGTTTTTTAACAATTGAGTCAACAGATTGAGTCATCCAAAAAAGAAGAATTTGCAACTACTCTGCAGAATCAAGGCTAACACCAGATAAACTCAATTGTCGACCAAAAGAGGACTTGGTAAGTTTGAAAAGTATGTTAAAAGCTTCAATATCTATCCTAGGTAAATGTATTTGCTGACTTTTCACAAAGAGAGGGAAAGTCAGCAAATATATCTACCCATAGATACTGAAGCTTGAAAATTGCAGCATTGTTTCCAGGAATTACTTTGAATGGCTGACCATCATGACCATCGTATGTCTATGTCTTTTGAACCAAAATGCATGGGCATATAATGATGTAGGGCATTTTTCACTACATGCCACAAAAGCTAAGGGTTTTTTTATCACGCTCTCCAGTTGATCAGATTACGTCGCTTTTACCAAGCTTCAGTATTTATCCTAGGTGGATGTATTTGGTTACTTTTTCCAAAAAGAAGTGAGTCTCAGAGAAAAAGTCAGCATTACATCTACCCATGATACTGAAGCTCAAAAATTGACTCGTACATCGATTTTGTAGCAATGTTTACGATTTGTTTCTAGATCATGGACAAAAACGAGAACAGAATAATCTGCAACATCGCCTCCAGGAATTACTCTGAATGGCTGATCAGCATGATGTTCTGCACCATTAAATGTTCATGTGTTTTGTCGTAGAATCAAAATATAAGCTCATTTAGTGTAGCAGCGCATTTTTTACTACATGCCAGAAGAACTAATTGGGTCTTAAAAAAATCAAAATTTGGCAAAATACAGGGCCCGGTGAGTCCGAAATAATTGCGCATTTTGTTATGATAGATAGAGTAAAATAAGACAATCACTTTTTGCATATGTACATGTGTCCGCAAACATTTCGCTAACAAAAAAAAACAGAGTGTTGAAGTTTTCGGAAAATTTTGACTTTTTGCCTTCATAGATTCAAAATGGCTTGAGCGATTTTGATCCAATTTTTAGAGAGTGTTTGCGATATTCTCAAGCATCTTTTTTAAAAAACCGTTTGAGTTTCACTTTTCCAGGACCAAACCTACAGCGACTAATGTTCACAATTTGTTTCTAGCTCATGGACAAACAAAAACAGATAATCTGCAACATCGCCTCCAGGAATTACTTTGAATGGCTGATCAGCATGATGTTCTGCACCATTGTATGTCCATGTGTTTTGTAGCTAAACAGAAATACGTGCGCATATAATGGTGCCGCGCATTTTTCAATACAAGGCAGAAGAGCTAAGAGTTTACCACGCTGTCCAGTTGATCAGGTTATTTGTGTTTTTCGAACGCACATGATATTCAGCATTGCAAATGATTATCTTTCAAATTTAAATTAAATAACATATTGATGATTAGTTCTCAAGTTTATTTCAAACAATAGGTGAGTATATAGTTATAATTTTAGGGATTTATTTATTCAGATGCTTGTACACCAGATTGTGGGTTTAGTGCATGCATTAGATCCAGAAATTGACTGATTTCCTTAGATTTCCCATGCTTTTTTTTAGATTTTTCTTGAGTTCCCTTATTTTCCTTGTGATATCCTCTGATTTCTTTATGATTACCCCTTATTGCCTTAGATTTCCTTTTGATTTCCCCTAATTTGTACACCAAATTACCCTTGTGGGCAAGAGGTAAACCGCAGGTCAGTTTTTTTACACCAAATAGCGGTTTTAGGGGAAATTGTGGATGATTTTCCCTGATTTTTTCTGATTACCAGTAAGATTGCACAACCTGATAACATTATCTCAAATTATAAAGATATTTGACAACTGAGCATCCGTTAAATCTAGAGATTGACTGATTTCCTTAATATTTCCCTTAATTTACTTATGATTTTCCCTGATTGCCTTAGATTTCCTTTTGATTTTCCTTATTTGGACACCAAATTACCCTTGCTGTTTACTGTCTTAGGGCCGGTTTATCCGTTTATTCACCTTCTGATAAATTGTCAGGTATGCAATCTGACAAATAAAAACCCATTTGTCGGCCAGTTATCCGCTGACCAATAGAATTATAGAATGGTAAATTTATTTTGCAGATAGTTACCAGTAAGTTTACCTGAAGATGAATAAACCGGGCCTTAGTGAAATTGTCATAATACAAGTAAAATTATAATTTTTTATGGACAACGGGTTTCATCAATTTTGCTACGTCAAAAGAAATCTGTGAAATACAAATATTTATATTTTCTTGCGCAGTGAAATGGACGCTGTTAACTATTATTTGCAAAACTTTGCTTCTTGATCTTATCTTGGTTAATCTATGAAGAAAATTTATTAAGTATGAACCATTTTTATTGTTATAAAATTTAAAAAGCAATTACATTACAAAGAGGAAAAGTAAATCTACAATTGTGTTATTCCCGTTAATAGCATTTCGACTATATTCATGCAAGAATTCTTAAAAACATTGTTAAAAAACAAAACATTTATTTGGTAAAAAGAAACTAAAAAGTCTTTGTTAATAAAGCTACTGAAATCTCCATAAGAGAGCTGTGGTGGCTTTACAAATTTCTAACTATTTTATTAACCTCTATGTGTACAAAGATCCGTCATCGCTCTGCATTTATTCTTTTATGCTTATGGGGAACTACATATACAAAAAAAATTAACCTTAGCCTAGAGCCTAAATAATTATTTACCTAACATCCAGAGCCACTTTTTTTTCTGGGATTGAGCCCAATTTGAGCAAAGAATTAAGCCCGCTACTCACTATTCATTGATGCATGAGTTTTTGCAATTAGTGTCAATGGACCATCAAAAAAAAAAATGATGCAAGAATCAACAAATGCCCAACCATTTTTGCTTAGTAGTTTAATTTGAAATACAAGATGGAGGAACTCGTTATGGTTTTCATGAAAAAAATTCGAATTCATTTAATTTTATAGAATCCTCGTGATACGAAATAATAACAAAAATAATTCATTTTGATTGACTAAAACATCAACAAATTGGGGTACTATGTATGAGTAGTGGGCTTTACAATATTCAATGCAATTTTATTCCTAAAGTTTTTAAGATATTAAGACAATTACTAATAAAGAAGTAGATTTATTGAGATCTGAAACAAAAATCCTGAATTAGTACTGAAAATGATATATGTATGATTAAATCAAAACGATCAGTTATAAATTAGAGCCAAACCCAATTTTAAATAAACTTCTCTCTCTCTATATATATATATATATCGATTTTTGAAGTAACTCGAAAATTTAATTAGTTTGAAAAAGGTAAGTTCTTGTTACCCATCATTTTTTCAATAATAATTCAAGTTGGCTTGTCATTTGGCCCATACGATAACTCTGTGGGAAAGTTAAATGAAGTTAAACTTTGCAACTTCAATTTGTCGCATTGCAACCCTTCTGGCTCAAATAGGTTATTTACAAACATTCTTGCTCGTCATTCAAAACAAATTGTTCGTAACAAAACTTCGTGCTGTTAATTTGAGTTCCGTATTTTCGAGACGTTAATTATTCTAGTAAAATAATATAGTTAAAAATTACTTACATTTGCTTATGAAGGAAATCCTGTAGGCGGCTGACCTGGGACAGAATACTGAGGTCTGAAGTTGGAAAAGTTGGCTGTGGCGAATCCTGCCAAGTTACCAGCGTTGAAACCAGGTGGGAATTGACTCATAACTTGAGCTGAAAACAAAATAAAAATTTAAATCTCGTGTCGTTTTTTTTAGTGATTCTAATGTCTGGGTATTTTTTACCAGATAAAACACTTTGACATTATGATATTAGAAAAATTAAAGAAAATTGAAAACAGTAAGTTGATTCAAATTCCGTCCTAAAAGGGTTGCAATGTATGCGGCGTGAAGTGGACTTAATTGTTTAGCATTGTCTACTGGAACCTTGTTTCAGTTATTTCCTGTGCTTATGGCGCCGTCCAAGTTTGTTTTGAATATATGTTTTTTATGCGTATTTTAGTTTTGATTTGTAACCTATTAAGGGTGGGCATTATAAAACTATTTTGACAGAAAATTAGAAGTTAACTTCTGGAATTACTATGAAATTCCGGAAGTTAACTTTTAATTTTCTGTCAAAATAATTATAAAACTGCCCTAAGTCGGGCAGAAACTAGATATTTTTTTGTGTTTAGTGTTAGTGTTGTGAAATTCCGGATAAGTGTCTGTTCGTTGTGGGATGTGAAAACCGCCAAGAAAGAGACATGTGTCTTTCTACGGAGTCCCAAGCGTGACCAGTTCAGTAGGTATATTTTCTCCTGGTTAATCCATCCTCAGATGAACTTGCTGGTAATTATCTGCAAGATAAATCTACCGTTCTATAAATCTATTCGTCGGCGGATAACTGGCCGACCAATGGGATTACAGATTGCGTTGTTATCCGTCAGATTGCATACCTGACAGTTCATCAGAAGATGAATAAACCGGCCCTAAATGAACTATCAGGAAAAAGAGGAATAGCATGGTCAGCGGTCATCAAACAGAAAGATTTTTCACAATTTTAAAGTAGGAAACAGGAGTTTGTAGTAAGCATTTATCACAGGTAAAAAAAATGCGTGCATGTGATTTCTGTGAGAACAGACCAGACCTATAATGATATGTCGTATTGCTAATCCTAGGCTGTATCCTCTAATTAAGGCAGGATGGTGAGGGCTACCTTTCTGTCTCTGGTTCATTGCTGTTAGGTTTGGTATATTCCTAACCTCAAATATAATATTTTTTTATGGCTGTTTTGTTTGCACGGCTATAACTTGAGGGATATTTAATCTAAGTGGAGCTTTGAATGTGACTTTTGTTTCCACAAGAATCATTCAAAACTCCACTCGGATTGAATATCCCTTCAGTTATAGCTGTGCAAATAGCCGTTAGACAAGGAAAGATTTCCATAATTCGCCAATAAGATAAATAGAGATAAGTATCCCTCACATCCTCCATCTCAATGTGCCTCAATTTTATGGATTGGCGCGACCATTCCAGGTACGTATAGTTTATAGTTCATTGGGTTATGTTGGGTTGTGGCAGGTTAGGATGAGAAAGATGCAATGTGGCTTCTTACGATCAGACCATTTTCTGACCCAATTTAGCGTTTCCTATTTCCATATTGATCGGTATGCACTAAGTGCATTCGCATCTTTTTCTAAAAACGTGTAAAATATAAGGATAAACATACATTTTTGTTGCACTGATTCTGCAAATCGAAATCGCTATTAGTTATTTCCTTTAAGTTAGGTCAGAAAGTGGTTTGATCGTAAGCAGCTTAATGGCGATTTCCATTTGTCAATCAGTGCGCACTGAGTGTATCCGCATCTTTTTCTAAAAGCATGTAACATGTATGGATAAGGATACATTTTTTTTGCACAGGTTCGACAAATGGAAAACGCTATAAGTAAAGTTCGGTTAAACGATTCTTGGTTGAAGCCACTCCATGAACTTAAAAAAAAAGTACGCAAAATGTCACCAGTGGAAATTTAATTTCCTTTGTTTTTGGAATGTGCGTGCATAAAAAAGGACTTAAGTTTTTTTTAAGGAGAGTTCCTGTGTCAAATTGCAATTTGAAAGGGTCTTTTCTTTGAAACCCTTTCGGTCACCTTGTCCTGAAAAAAGGACAACGCATTTCTATATTTTCTCCATCGAATTCGATACGATTTTACCTCTATTTCACAGTGTACTAGTTTTAGGACAGCAAACAGCCTAGTCCTTATATTAGGCACATATGTTCCGCCATCTATGAAATAGTAGTAAATTAGTCATATAATTGAAAATAGCTTTCCCTAATTTGACAAGAAGGTAGCGTAGAGTCCTACATTATCTTTTTTTTTGCAGAAATCTGTTGAAGAAACGAAATAAAAAGTGTTTTATTATGGAAATGAAGGATAAGTGTCTATTCTAAAAATTATTTTCGTTGTTTTGGTATTCGATCTCTTGACAATTAGATTTTTGAACCTCAAGGGTGCGTTCGAAATCACCCTGGGCGTCACACCGAGAGCACACCAGCTATGATTTATTCATGGCTTTTGTGAAATCGGTGTAACGCCCAGGGTGATTTCGAACGCACTCCAAGTACTAGTTTTAGGACATTGGTATCAAATGGTAGAACAGCCTACAGACAAACCTAACCTTACTTTTGACATATAGTTTTGCAAAACAAACCTGTTTTTTTCTGCATTTTTAATAAAAATGAGCTCAAAAAAGGGGCTCAATGATGAAGTTTTGTTGAAGCTTCTTGATGAAGGGCTCTCTGACATAAAGTTTCTCAGTGATGATGGGGAAGAAGGCGGTAACTGGGATGAAATAGCAAATGTAGCAGGTATGTAAATTTTTTCAGCAGAAATAAGAAATTTGACACAAAATTTTCTTGTAGATATTTATGAGCAGGATGATGATGATATATCGGAAGAAGAAATAGCTAGCGAGAAACCAGAAGGTTTTCCTGAAGAAATAGCCAATGAAGAACCTCAACTGAAAGTTTTTGAACAAAAAAACTACAAACTGAAAAAGTAGCCAGAGAGGAAGTAGAAAGTTACCCAGAAGAAATAGCCAGCACCAGCAAAGAACCTCAAGTGAATGTTTTTGAGCAAAAAAGGCTACCAACTGATACACAAGAAATACTAGAGGAGCCAGTAGAGCAAGAATCAGCTAAGAATAGAAAAAAAAGTAAGTGAAAATGTCAAATAATTTTATGGAAAATAATGAACTAACCAAAAAACATGACATCAAATGGAGGCAAGGAGTAAGATAATATATAACTCCAAAGATCAACTGGTATCAAGAACAACTCCTGAAGTCGAACAACTTGAAAGTCCATATTACTTTTTCAAAGAATATTTTACTGACGAGCTTTTAGAAACAATGATAAAGTATACCAATTTATATGCTCTTCAAAAAGAGACCCATAATTTTTGCCCAACAACAGTTGAAAAAGTAAAAATTTTTGTTGGTATCCACATTCTTATGGGAAACTTACATTATCCTAGGATTAGGTGCTACTGGCAACCTAAATTACAAATTTCGATGATTTCTACTAATATGCCTGTCAATAGATTTTTCAAACTTAGACAACATTTACATTTTGTGGATGTAAAAGATCATAATCCTGATGACAAAGACAGAATGTGGAAAATAACACCATTGTATAATTGTATAAGAACAAAGTGCCCCTCTTTGCCCCTAAAAACTGAACTCCGTATAGATGAGCAAATGTTTCCCTTCAAGGGAACTAAATGTGAAACAATAACTCTTTTCACGTGGCTCCGGTTCAACAAACCGCAACATACCGCTCAAATTCGAGTGGTAGGTATCCATCACGTCACTTTGTAACCGAGTTAGATAACGGTATGTCATTTCTCTAACCGTTTTGTAACCCAGTTAGTTAAACCGGAGCCACGCGAAAAGAACTAATATGTTAGAAATAAACCCAAGCCTTTAATCCTTTTCACGTGGCTCCGGTTTAACAAACCGCAAAATACTGCTCAAATTCGAGTGGTAGGTATCCATCACGTCACTTTGTAACCGGGTTAGAAAACGGTATGTCATTTCTCTAACCGTTTTGTTACCCGGTTAGTTAAACCGGCGCCACGTGAAAAGAACTATTGGGAATTAAAATTTTTGCATTAAGCCTAGTACTCATAACTGCGAAATTCGCATTTTTTTGACATTGCGTTGACAATTTGACGTTAAATGCGTGAATCAAACGTCAAATTGTCGAAGCAATGTCAAAAAAGTGCGAATTTAGCAGTTATGAGTACTAGGCTTTATGCGGCAGCAGTGGTCTGATGTATGACTTCATAATCTACGAGGGAGCAACAACCGAATTAGATGAAGTACAATCACTAGTTTTTGGCTTAGATGGCACAGTAATTGCGACTTTGTCCAAAAGAATAGATGAACCGAATTTTCAACTATATTACGACAATTATTTTCCAACTATAATGTGCTTCAATATTTACGAAACAATAATATCTACGCTACTGGGACAGTGAGAGTCGACAGATTTAGTAAACCACTAATTTCTTCGGATGCAAACAAGAGAAAGAAAGGAAAGGGCTCGTATAAAGAAATAATCAGTAACGATAGAATAATAATGACAAAGTGGTATGACAATAAATCGGTCATAATGGCCTCTAACTACATGAGCATTGGTGAATCAGATTTTTGTCAGCAGTGGGATGAAACTAAAAAATAAGAAATATAAGAAAAAAGCTATTGCGTTGGGAGTCGTTAAAAATAAAATTCTGGCCCTGCTCCATTTCAGAAGTTTTAATTGGCACTGCTAAAACACCTAATAGGAAAAGGGGTCACCCATCTTGTGCCTCTGAGCAGGTGGAATTGGATTCCGAACCCTCAACATCGAAGAGACCGAAAGTTTCAAGTAAGAAAAATGTGGAAGTTCGTCCTGCAAAAGAAGTTACACTAGATAAGTTCAATCATTTACCTATCATAGACAATAAAGCAAATGGATTAAGATGCAAATGCCCTAAATGTAAGGGCAAAACTAGAGTTTTTTGCCAAAAATGCAATGTTCATTTATGTTTAAATAAACATATCAACTTTTTTCTTAGGTACCATAATTCTTAATGTATTTTTTCAAATAAAAATCTTATTTTTGATGGTCTTGAGTTTTTTTTTTTTGTGGCAAATCTAAAAATACCAATATGTCACCATGTCCTCGATTGGAGACACTCCACGTTACCCATCAATTCACAATGTCCTGAATTGGGGACAGTCTACATTTCCCATATGTTCACAATGTCCTCAATCAAGGAGGGGCCTGAAGGGCAAATTTAAAAAAAAAAAATTATGTTAAAAATCCTTAAAAAATCATAGATTCAGGAAAAAAATCTCCAGATTTTTTCCTTCGAAGAATTTAATTCATGACCGAAAGGGTAATATTCACAAACAGATATGAAATAGAACGAATTGTTAAACTACACCTGGTAAGCTATATTCTTTATTTAATTCTTCAATAACGAATTTAATTAGTAAAACTGGGATAAACGTTCACATGGTAAAGTCCTTTCTTTTCTTTAGTTGGGGGATATGCTATTTGATTCAAGATGAACCAAATATACGTATAACTAACAGCAACCAGCTTGGCCCGAGGTACAATCAAACTTTCCATACTGGACCATTCAATCCTCGGTGTTCCTTTCCAAAAACAATGTGGTGCATTTCATCCCTGAATCTCTGCATCCGATGGCGCTTCATTGACGTTATTGGTTGACCTCTAAGCACAGGTTTTCAAGGAAGAAGGTATTTTGCTATAACTGGTTACTCGGACAGGAAATCAGTTTGCTTTAAATGTTCCATTGTTTTAAATTTCGTTATATATGCATATATGTTTAATGTTAAGTTATTGTAGTGTGTAAATTGTTCAGGAAGTTCTCACCGTGTACTTTTGTAGCATTTCAGTTAAACCATATAAATAAAAAAAATTACCTTATTTATTTGAATCAATTTATGTCATAAGATTTATTCTTGTAGTTGCTACAATAATAAATGATTGTTCAAAAAGCTGTTTTCAAGATTCTATTAACTTTCACATACCCCTTGGAATCGTCACAAGCTACCGTAAAATATATTGGCATAATCAAATATTAATATTACTTAGGAAAAGCAAGGAAAATAAAAATTACCAGTAGCTTGGCTAGTAGATGAGGATGTAGCAGCCAGCCTGGACAAAATACTTCTCTCCGACATTTGAAGCCTTTGCGCAACAGGAGGGATTCGAGCTAAGGTCGCTGGTAATCTTGAAACATCTGATTTCATATCGCTCAACAACTCTTCCAGTTGGTTGAGCACTTTGTGCAATACGGCGTTTGCTGGTTTATTTCCAGCCAAAGATTCTTTGCTCAGGTGTTGATGAGACTCGGCCAAACATTCCACTTCAGCAAATCGGGCATTTAGTGACATTGCCGGATGATTTGGATCCTGCGTTAAGTTGAGGTAAGCTGCGCGACGGAGTTGTTCTTCGATGACGAGAGCTTGTTCAAGAAGCTGAAAATGTTTTTGTTAAGCATAAAATTCACCTATTAACTAGTTAGGCACGTACCTTAAATCTTCTAGCTAAGAACTTATTTTTAATTTCCAAGAAGTTGCCTTTTCCAACGTCCATTTTGAAGGGTTCATTGATAATTGCGAATCTTGCATCCGCTTGGATATCTTGCCACCTGAAATAAAAATGTTGAAAACCCATAAAGCCTTCAACTAATTTGAAAAATATTTTGACTTTTTGACCCAAAACTCCTGCAATTTTTTTTCCAGGATTCATAAGGTCCTGGGTTGGGTATCGATTGGGTATTGAATCTTACAATATGTAAATCATTAGGAACAAAAAAAAAATGTCGTTTAGGCACATATGGGTGTTTTCACAAAAATCACAACAAATTTTTGTGTTGAAAAAAATGTATTCAAGCCCGCTAACGTTGATTCTCACCTTCCGTAACCGTGAGTGACAATTCCGGCCAACAACCAATAATCATGACGACGATGCCAAATTTCGTATTCTCTTCCAGGTGTTGCGGCTTTTTCTTCATTGAGCCATAAAGTGTGCAGCTCTGTGAAGCCACCGTCAGCAATGTTGAACATGAACTTCCTCTTCTCAGGAGGAGGTATCGGTTCTGATTCTTTCTTTTCTTTCTGAAATGAATATATATGCATGAAGTATTTTACAAGTAACCCTTTTAGAAATGTTTTACCTTTTCGTCTTCCACAAGAACGAGGGTGTCTTCTTTTTTATCTGTAGAAGGTTTCTCTTCTTTTTTGTCTTTTTCTGTCTCTTCTTTTTTATCATTTTCAGGAGTTTCTTCCTTTTTGACATCTTCTGGTTCTTTTTCAGGTTCTTCTTTAAGTTCTGGTTCGTCTTTTTTAATTTCCTGAAATGAAAATGTTTAAATAATTCACCTAAGAACAATCAAGAAGAAAACTTACTGGAATTTTCTCATCTTTCTTTTCTTCAACCTCTGCTTCTTTTGGAACATCCTCAGGTTTCGTTTCCACTTTTATTTCCTCGGGCTTAATTTCTTTTTCCTCTTTTTCTTCTGACACTTTAGGTTCTCCTTCTTCTGCCGCAGGTTTCTCGTTCTCTTCTTTCACTTCACTTTTCGTTTCCTTATCTTTGCTTTCTTCACTAGCTTCAGGTTTTTCTGCCACTTTTTCAGCTGGCGTTTCTATCGGTTTTTCTGATGTTTTCTCCAATGGTTTCTCAACTTTTTCTGCAGTTTCCAGGCTGGCATTTGGTGCAGGGCTTGGAGCTGCACTGGTGGCAGGAGTTGCACTAAAATATAAGGCATTAGAATTGCTTTAATTATATAATGTTAGCTCATTTTCATTACCTTGTACTTGTTGTTGCACTTTTTGGGGTGTCAGCGTCTCCAATAGTAATGGCAGCCTTATTTTGATCTGAGAAACATTTTTTAATCAATTCTGGCATGCTGTATTCGCCATTTATGTGCTCAAACTCTTGAACCTATAATAGAAATATCATATACTTACTAGAAATTATTGAAGAATCACAAGATAACCACAAAATGGCTGGTTCATGTAACGAATGCTCCATAAAGTGCATTTTTAAGGAACCTAAGACCACTGGAGAAGTTTTTGGCTACCCATGTGATTTTTGCAAAAAGGTATTATGCAGGGGTTGTAGTGGTATTAGTTCTACTGAGATACGATATCTAATCTTGGCCACTCGCATTGTTCCATACCTGTGCAAGGATTGTATACCCGGAATTAGAAAAGCATTGAGCCTTGACAGCAGAGTCCAGGCACTAGAAGATACTTTAAGTGAAGTTCAAATTGCTAACACTCAGAAAATAGATGAGTTCGATATCCAGATTAAGGCGATAACTGAGGAAGTCAAGAGTTTGAAAACTAGCTTTTTGGCCTCCCTAGAAGATATTAAAAATGACCTTACCATTATAAAAACCACTACATCTACTTCAACTAAGGAGAAAGACAGCGGAAACAGTGCATTGGTGCACGGTAATGTAATGCACGAGGTCTCTGAGAGACAAAGAAGATCTTGTAACCTGATGGCATTCAATTTGCCTCAAATCAATGAGGCTGAAGATATCTCTAAGACAAAGGATATGCTTCAAGGCCTCACAGGCTCTACTTTAAATATCGTTAGCTCAACTAGAATTGGAAAGCGTAATAAAAATGGACATCAAGCACTTCGTCTAACTTTAGAGTCTCCCGAAGTAGTCCGTTCGATATTAAGAAACAAGCGGAAACTGGACAGAAGCTTGAAAATATTTCTTGAGGCTGATTTGACCACAGAGCAACGAGCAGAGGTGAATGTTTTGAGGGATGAACTCAAGGAGAGACAACGAAATGGCGAAGATGATCTCATTCTGAAATATGTAAATGGAGTACCTAAATTGATAACAAAAAACTAAAAAGGCTTGCCAAAGTAAGACCGGAAAGCACCTCTTTGCTGATATATTTCCAAAATGTCAGAGGCTTACGTACAAAACTTCAACTTCTTTATGAAAATACCTCTTATTGTCAATATGATGTTTTAGTCTTTAATGAAACCTGGTTAACTGGCGATATTAATGATGCTGAACTACAAATGTTTGATTACAACATATATCGAAAGGACAGATCATCAGATACAAGTACTTTTTCTAGAGGAGGTGGGGTACTAATAGCTGTCCGTAAAACCATAACCAGCACAGTTTTATCAGCTACCATAAATATTGAGCAATTGTTTGTTAAAGTCCAGAGTGGTAACAACAATTTTATCTTTGCAACAGCCTATTTCCCACCCCGAAGTACACCTGAAAAGTATGTGGAGTTTAGTGAGAGTGTTGAGAATCTATCCGAAAAGTATCCAGAACACAAACTGTGTATCCTGGGAGATTTTAATCTTCCAAACTGTCAGTGGCATAATGATGGATTATCTTCAGTTGCTGCTCCTATGGCGGCAGTTCCACCTAACGAAGTTGAATCCGTACAAGTTCTTTCATTTTTATGTTCATACCATAACCTATATCAACTTAACTCAGTTAGAAATGTTAACAACAATTTACTTGATCTGGTTTTTATGCAGGATGGTGACACTGAGATATTTATAGCAGAAAATGCCTTACTTCCAGAAGATATTCATCATCCACCACTGTCGTTTGAGGTCGAATATGAATCAAATTGTTTCAACAACTCTGGATTGACTGGAGATGGCTATTATAGGGATTTTAAGTCGATGAATGTTCAAGAAGTATCAAGTTTCCTTTCCCTGTTTAACTGGGATGATTTATTCAAGAACAAATCTCTTGAGGATATGGTTAATATTTTTTACGACATTGTCTACCTAACTATTGATATTTTTGTTCCTTTGAGAAAGTATTCAGCAAAGAAGTTTCCTGTTTGGTTTTCTCCAGAACTAAAACAAACGATAATTGAAAAAAAAAAATTGCATAAAAAATATCGTAAAAGTAGATCACTGGATGACTATAATCAGTTTTCTTTGTTACGGGCTCACTGCAAACACCTAAAAAAAGAATGTTATCGAAGTTATGTTGCTTTAACTGAATCGTCTCTTAGAGATAATGTAAAGAATTTCTGGAAATTTGTTAACAGCAGAAAAGCCAAAAATAATATACCTTCTGTAATGCGGTATGATGGTGTTACTAGTTCATCTGGAGTTGGGATTGTCAATTTGTTTGCTGAATACTTTTCAAAAACTTATAGTGATAAAGACTGTGTATTGCAGGACATTCTGCCTTCTGGGCACATCAATCTGTCGGAATATAACATACCCATCTCGTCTATCTATGAAAAACTATCCAAATTGGATATTAACAAGGGACCAGGACCTGATGGCCTCCCACCATCACTTATCAAGCACTGTAGCTTCTTGTTCTCTAGACCTCTTTTCCATATCTTTAACCTCTCTTTAAAGACCGGGACATTCCCAGCCTATTGGAAAACAAGCTTTATTACTCCCATATTGAAGTCTGGAGATAGTTCACAGGTTAATAACTATCGGCCCATCAGTATATTAAGTTGTATCCCTAAAGTGTTTGAGAGTCTAGTTTGTGATTATTTGTCTGCTAGTTTAAAAGGCTGTTTCATCGATCAACAGTTTGGATTCATTTCTCATCGCTCCACAGAACTTAATCTTTTAACATTTACTGACTATCTCTTGGAATCCTTGGAGGGGGGTTATCAGGTTCATGCTGTGTACACTGATTTTGCAAAGGCGTTTGATCGGGTTAACCATAGAGTTTTGATTAATAAGTTGCAGGGTCTGGGAATTCAGGGTGTCCTTCTGGAATGGCTTTCATCTTACCTTAATGAAAGAACACAGATGGTACGTATTCAGGGATTCCAATCAATAGAAATTAAAGTACCATCGGGTGTACCCCAGGGTTCACACCTGGGCCCTCTTCTTTTTAATTTATATGTGAATGATATTGCATCCTCTTTTCTCTTTTCCTTCTTCCTAATGTTTGCAGATGACTTAAAACTATACACAAAAATCAAGAATAATGCTGATTGCCTAGAACTGCAAGCCGACTTAGATCGTCTCAGCAACTGGTGTGAAATTAATGGTATGGAACTTAATGTTCAGAAGTGCCATCTGATGGTCTTCAGTCGTAGCAGGAATCCCACAGAACAAGTCTACACTATAAATGGTTGCCCTCTGGAATCTGTATGTCAAATCAAAGATCTAGGTGTAGTCCTTGATTCCAACTTATCTTACATATCCCATATTTCAATGGCAGTATCAAAGTCACTTCAAATCTTGGGTTTTATTAAAAGGTGCGCTAAAGATTTTCTTAATATAGCATCCATCAAAATATTATTCTGTTCTCTTGTGAGGCCTCATCTAGATTACTGTTCTTGTGTATGGTCTCCCCACTACAACGTCCATATCCAGGCTATTGAGAGAGTCCAACATAAATTCTTGAGATTTATTTCATTTAAGGAACGCCATGAAGTTGAAGATATTAATTACTCAAGGGTTGAAAGTTCCCTTAATATCACTACTCTTCAAATCAGACGCATGCACAAGGATCTTACCATATTTTATAATCTACTGCACTCATACAGCTTTGGTCCAGAGCTACTGGCAAAAGTCAATATCCATGTCCCTTCTAGACAAACAAGGCTAAATCAGCCGTTCCAAATTGGACACCATCGTACTAACTACGGATATAATTCTTTTCTATCAAGATCGGCTAGATTTGCTAATCAGTATTCTAACAGGTTGGACTGTTTTGATAATCAAAAAGTTTTTAAATCCCAGCTTAAGTCCTGTACTCTGTGATATTTTAATGTCCCAAAGAATGGTTGTAATTAAAGAAAGAAAGGAAAAAAAAAAAAAAAAAAAAAAAAAAAAAAAAAAAAAAAAAAAAAAAAAAAAAAAAAAGTTTTAATTTTTTTTTTTTTTTTTTTTTTTTTTTTTTTTTTTTTTTTTTTTTTTTTGATAAAGTATTTTGTAGTTTTTACCCGAGTATTTACCTTATGTTTTATGTTAATTTATTGATATATATTTTTTAATATGTTACTGTTTATTGTTTTCTTATGTTTTGATATTCTAGGTGATAGGTTAGGTTAGGATTCTCACTTGTTAATTATACTTGTCTTTTAATTGGGCAATAATTGCTCGTTGATAAATAAATAAATAAATAAATAAATAGAAATCTTAAAATATTATGTAAAAAAAAAATTCAATAAAATAAATAAAAATCACCTTCTTTCTTATTAAGGACATAACACCGATCCTAGTTAAAACATGTTGCCTGCTCAAACCTTCACGGGGTACACCGTCAGCAAAAGTCTCAGCATTGTCTGCTCCGGGTTCACAAAGATGGCGCATAAATAAGGACACGTAGGCTTTGAAGTTTTTCTCGGATTTACCTCGAAGATCTCGCACCAGCCATTGCGAGTTGAAAGCGTCTTGTGGAGGCATACCATAACGCATGATGGCGTTAAGGAATGCTTTGCGTTGACGTGCGTTGAATCCAAGAACCTAAAAAAATTTTTGTATACCAATGTCAAAACTTAGAGGGCACATTGATTCAAGGCTCTACTTTTCAAATGGGAATATTTCTCTTGAGATCCTTTAACAATATTATGATTTCTTACCTCAATATTACCACCAACTCGAGCCAAAAGTGGCGGTAAAGGTCTGTCTCTTTCGTCTTTCCTTTCCATGCGCCTTCTGCTTCTTCTGCTCATGTCGCCTTCGTTCTTTTCGTCAAAGTCGTCATCTTCTTCATCTTTGTCAGACCCACCAGAGAAATCACTAAGGAATACAGTAAAATATTAGCTCAAATATTATGACAAATCTTTTGCGACCACCACCATTTTGCCCCACTACAGCTTTAAAAAAATCAATTATTAACCTCACAATAAAAAAAAATATATTGAGGGGCCTAATTTGACCTTACTTAAGAATGGTGCTCGAACAGTACTAGGATAAAAAATACTAAAGAAAGTGCATCCACAGAATTCCTAAACGGCTCTCCTGTTTCATGTAGATTTTGCTGCAATTGCAACTGCAATTGCCGAATTTTCATTCTTGCCAACCAAACCAAAAACTTTACGATTGAATTACCCTTTGGAGTTGTGTGTGACGTCAATTTATCGGTTACTGGGCGAAATTAAAATCAGAGCTCAAAACAATCCACAAATGCAATGATTTCTGCCATAGTAGCTGGAACCCCAAATACCGTGCAAATAAAGGACAAACACACAAAATGAAGCAATATTAACGGTAAAATTTATAGTCCTGGCTTGTTGAATTTTAGATAAAGTTCAGAATTGGTAATTTATGTATTCAAAAACAATATATGCATTTGATAATTATAAACAATATATTGGACTATAAATAAAGGAAGGATCCTCCACACGAAAATGAGTGTAGGCACCAAGACCAAGGAAGGTGTATCAGTATAAAGCTATCGTCAGCAAAAGGTAAGGTGCAAATAAAACAAAAGGGAACGTAAAATCTACAAAGAAAGCTCATTTTTAGCTTATTAAAAAAAGACAAGAAGTCCTAACACCAATATAGACAGTTCAAGATTAGATCACTGGGCAAAAGAATGCAAATAATGCACATAGTTGTCGCATATACTAACAAAAACAAAAACCATGAAGCGCAGAAAATTAAGAAAATCTGGAACCAAAACATCAGACGGTACTTGCTCCTTCAACCAGAAAACTGAAACCTAAACAGATGAGAAAAAGCAGTAAGTGCAAGCAACTAACAAAAAAGCGTTAGCAGCAAAAAAAGCGGTAAGGTTCATGCATTTACATAAATAAATATACTGAAACTATGATGTGACAAATATGTATGATTTGAATGACCACCCAGTGAAAAAAATGTTACAGAATATTTATTTTGTAGCAAGCGGGTCAATTTGCCCTAGCAACCGATTTTACATACACCTGAGTCGGTTAAACTCACCTTCATGGAACTTAAGGTAGTTTAAGTTAGGAAACAAAAGAAAAACACATACCAGTAGAAACCGTATTAATGATACTTTTGTGAGATATGTTATTATAGTAGAACGTGGCAGTTAGTACAGTACAGTAGAAGTCCAATTATCCCGATTAATTGGCGGATGTCATTCGATACTTGATATTTGGATAATTGGAGTTCTACTGTGTATATAAATTTACGGTAAATAGTGCGGTTTTTAACAGTTGACAGCTAAGAAAAACGCAATGACGTCTGTCACACTCCAGGCTCTTTACAAAACAGCAGAATCCTTATGGAATACATAATATGTATTGTCCTGCATTTGTAAGAGTGTGTGGTAGAGACCTTTGTCATGAATGCCATAAAAAAATATTCAGAGAAATCCAAAACAAAGAAACGAGCAAAATAATTAAGTTAACAGGCGTTATTCAGGAAGTTCGAAAAGAAAATGGCAGTGGCCCTTATCGCAGTGACTTTTGCATAAAAAGGAAAAATACTTCAGGAAACTTTCAAATTGTAAAATTATCAGACTCGCTTGCGCCCACAAATCGCCTTTTGCATTTATAATGAAAGTCTTGCGCCGTCAACTGTTAAAAAATAGACTAAAACGCCGTGTTCAAGACTTTGTGAGCAGATTAATAAAAAAGTGCTTTGTTAGAAATGTATGATTATGTTTATTGACAAACTTTGAGCAAAATAATACTGAAACAAATAAAAAGTTTTTCTTTTACCAAAAAGATCATGTACTCTTGTTTTTTATTTAGGCTTTTAATAATAAACTTAAAAAAAAAATGCAAAACTGAAATATTATGCATTACTGTTTATGTTGTGTGTTACGCTTTCTTTAAAATTTTTATTCTTATTTTTGGTCCAGCATGGTGACAAAATAAAATTGTCTTTCATCGTCAGAATCCAGTCGCAATTGGAGCCGTTGCTAGTGCCGGAGCTATAAAATGAGGAACAAACTCGCGTTAAGAATGGAAAATACAAAGATGCACCCCCTGTTCTATTATGATCAACTACCTGTTATAGTCGGACAGATTTTCCTGCCAGGTACTATCATCGCGGGTTTCTGTAGTCATGCCGCCATCATTGTAGTTCACTTGTTTTCGGACACGTTTACCTTTTCCCAGAGTTCTGGCGATATCTTCTTGTTGCTGTAGAAAGAAATATTTATAAAATACTACCCTAGAAAAACCACAAATATTTTCACCTGTTCAAAATGATGTCTAAGCAACTTAATCCAATATGCAGGATCGGTGTTTTCGGCTTCTTGTTTGATAATTTCTGTGTCTACTTCTTCTTCATTTTCGCCTTCTTTGGTGGCATAACTGGCGACTTTGAACGAACTCAAATATTCATTGGCCCAAGATTCTTTTTGCTCGATACCTTCTTTACTACGGTCCAAAAGTTCCCGAACGGCCTTGTCATCATAATGAATAGCCTCCTCTCCCTTACCCTCTTCTTCTTTGAACAACTCTTCAGTACCAAACCTCAAGATATCATCCAATTCTTGTTTTGTAAAATTGGCACCTTTACCGCCCATTCCTGGACGAACAACCAAATGAGTCAACATCATTTTTCTTTTAGCCACTTGTGTTACTCTTTCTTCTACACTATTACGTGTTACGAATCGATATATCATTACTTTGTTGGCTTGACCAATACGATGGGCTCTTGAGAAAGCTTGAATGTCGTTGTGAGGATTCCAATCGGAATCGTAAATGATAACGGTATCGGCAGTGGCCAAGTTAATACCCAAACCTCCGGCTCTAGTGGATAATAGGAAAGCGAATTGCACAGCACCAGGGGCGTTGAATCTGTTTCAAAAAATGCATATCAGGTGTTCGATTTCTCAGGCAGCTTAAGCTAAACTATCATATAAAACATTTATATTTAGGAGAAATGTATTTTATAAAATTCTGGAAACGGCTAAAAGAGTGTCTGTTCCTGTACCAATTGCAAACAAAGTTAAAAAGTATCTATTTTCATGAGCATTTTCTTTATGAGTACAGTTAGCTAATAATAATAGCTAAGGAAATAAAAAGCTTGCAATATAATAAAAAAATAACACTTCATTTACCTATCTATAGCTTCTTGACGTTGACCCCCAGTTATAGCACCATCAATACGTTCATACTTGTACCCTTCTCCATCTAAGAAATCTTCCAAAATGTCCAACATTTTTGTCATTTGCGAGAATATTAAAACACGATGTCCTTGTTCTTTCAGTATTCTCAACATCTTCGAAAGCAAAACCAGCTTACCAGCAGCTAAAATTTAATAATTACATTATTATCGCAATAAAAATGTTTGAGCCCATTTACATTTTGTAAGGTGTTGAATATCGTATTGCCCATGAGTCCCAACAGGAGCCTCTTCTGAAGCGGCTGGAAATAGATAAGGATGGTTACAGCATTTCTTCAAATCCATCATGATGTTTAGCAAAGAAACTTGTTGACCTCCTCCTTTAGGATTCAAAGCTTCAAAATTTCTCGTCAAAATATATTTGTAGTACTTCTTCTGCATTGGACTCAATTCAACTCTCACAATAAATTCAGATTTTGATGGCATGTTTTTCAAAACGTCGGCTTTGAGACGACGCAACATGTGTGGGCCCAACATTTCATGTAGTTTTTTAACCTAAAATTATCAATTTAATGATATAATCATATATATTTCATTGTCCCTACTTGATCCTCTTTGGAAATATCAGCAAATTCATTCTGGAATGTTTGCAGTTCGTTGAACTTTTGTGAGTTTAAGAAGTTAAGGAGATGGAACAATTCTTCCAAGTTGTTTTGCAGTGGAGTACCAGTCAAAAGTAGTTTATACTGAATGTTATAGCTATTCAGGAACTAAAATGAAAAATAAATGTTTATGATAATACTTATTTTTGCAAAACTATATATTTTTACCTTGAAGAATTTTGATTGGTTACTCTTCAGCCTGTGGGCTTCATCAACCACTAGTACGGCCCAATCAATTGAGGCTAAACAAGCTGAGTCAATAGAAACAAGTTCGTAGCTGGTTAAAAGTACATTAAATTTGATAGAACTGGCTTTTATCTTAGAAGCCCTTCCAGATCTGGCAACTGCGCCTTCTTCAAATGTGAGTTCGTTTTCTCGGATTACAGCACGGCAATCCTTATCACCTAGATGAATAAATGTTGTTTCCAGCCAAAACATTTTTACAGAAGAAATTGCACTTACCAACATAAGTGATACAATAAAAATCAGGAGCCCAGGTTTCAAATTCTCTTTCCCAGTTAATTATAGTTGAAAGCGGGACCGAAACTAAAAACGGACCTTTGCAGTGGCCTTCTTTGTATAGAGAATAGAGAAATGTGATGGTCTGGATTGTTTTTCCCAGACCCATCTCGTCAGCGAGAATGGTGTCAATACCATTTGCCCACGAGTATCTTAACCAGTTGAGACCTGAAGAAATTTAAAGATAATAGATCAAATTACAGGTTACAGTGTAAACCAGAAGAAAAATTGTAATAGATTTCAAAGATTACTGGAAAAATATTTTAAATGTTGTTGCAGGATTCAGTATTTTGTTTTGAAAACGTCTTCTATGAGTTGGTTACTACTTTTACTCCCATAAAGTTAGTTAAGGAAAATATAAAATATATAAAAGTTTTAAATTGTTTGTTCCTTTTACAAACTTTATTGTGAATATATTTTATTGTAATTATTGCAAACTGTTTCCTAAAGCTAAATATTGTGTAATTTGCTGGACAATATTTACCTTCCAACTGATATTCGTGCAGTTGCATTCCGCATTCGTCAAGATATATTGGTTGTTTGTCAAACTTTTTCTTCAAATCCGATGTCGGCTTATCAGGTGGAGGTGTATATCTTCTTGGAGTAACTCTGTCGTCATCGTCCAATAACTCTCTTGATCTTGATTTCGATTTGGCTATACAATAGACAATTATTAGAAAAGAATAAAAAAATTAAGAAGCATTTGGTTCATAGCTTATTCACTGCTGAAAGGTAACCAAAATGAAAAGTCTCTTGAAGCAATTTGATTCTTCATGCCCCAGAAATATAATAAAACTAAAACTAAAGCTAATCTCATAAACAAAAAGTAGACATACATTTGGGTTTTCGACCAACTTTGGATTCTTTATAACAAGCTGATCTGAGATCTTGGTAATACTCTACAGCTGCCTTAAGACCAGGAATATCGTCGCTTTCTTCTTCCCATGTTGCTTGATCATATGACAATTCTCTCCACTATACAAATAAAGTTTGATTATTATTCCAAAATACATACACAACTTAAACCTAATCTACCTTCACTAAAAATAGCGTTCTACCATCCTTTGTAGTTCGATGGTTAATAACTCTATGGACAATAAGCCATTCCGGTTTAACTCCGAATTTGTAGAACTTTTCTTCTAATTCTTGGTCGTTTGTTGTGCCGCCCATTTTGATAAAACGTGTGCAACGTGCGTCTGCTTCATCTAAACAAAAAAGAAAATATAAAGGTAATATAATTGTAAGTTAAGAATGAATATATAGGCGCCAATTTATAGAGTAATTATTGGCAATATTTTTGACAATTACCAATGGGTTCCTCTAGTTTAGGAGGGTCTTCCATGTCATATTTTCGCGTGTAGCTGCGGAACATCAACGGATGGTAAACGTCCAATTGCAGTTCCGAGATCCAATCACAATGCCAATAGGATAATTCGTGCCATTTTACAAAATATTCCCTTCTGCGATGCTTTGTAACTTCTTCTTTTCCATTCTGAAAGTCAAATTTACCAATTAGCCATTTATATGACAATAATTTATGCAAGCTATTTTTGCCAACTTCCCCAATTTAAAATTCTAGTTAAATGATAGCAGTTTTATGTATATCAGTTTGTTGGAACTATAATTTTATCATTGTTTTTTTATTTATTTTGAGAATTTAGAAGATTTTAAAGTAGTTTTGAACACCTTGTTCATCTATAAATAATCATGTGGATAGAAACAGAATAATACTAGCAACGCAAATAGAATTATTGGTATTATTTATTATTCTACAACAACTGTATTATGTACAGGGTTTTTTCAAATTTTAGCAACTCAGAAATCAGAATAAATTACTTATCAATCAGAGATAATTATTTATTAGTTAAAAGAAAGTGGATACTCTATATTTGCAGCAAACAAACATGTGATTATTTATTTTCTCTTGATGAGATATTGATTGCTCCATGTTAATAATTGAAAAGATAGAAATTTACTAGACTAGAAGGTTCAAGTACGATTGACCTATTCCATGCGAGTAATTATTAAAGAGCAGTAAAAAATTTGAAATGTAGGACACAGCCAAAAATAATTCTAAGTATAATAAATATTCGAACAGTCGTTGAATTGTCGACTTTTACTGCTTTTATCCTAACAATGAGCCCAATAACTTTATGAATTATAATTCAGGTTTATCAGTTCGAAATTAGCATCAGTAACCAGAAAATTGTGGATTATTGGGAACAAGTTTCTCAAACAAAACTGTTTCTTAGTGTGCTCTTTTTATATGTGACAGCATCCATATCTTGCTGAGATTGATTGCTATGTATTTTCTCAGACAACATGCTCAGTTGGCTTTCGTACATAAAAAATAAACTTTAAATATTCCATTTCCATACAAATGAATCAATAGGCATAAGATTCAGCAAATTAGGAATCCAAGAAATAGATTCCTACCAGAATATCATAGCTGGGGAAATGTTTCATTTGAAAAGTTGCCTAGGAAAAACTCACGCTTTCATTGTTCATAGTAAGCATGAGGGTTTCCAGTGTACCAAATGGGTATTTGCTCCACCCAATACATGGAAAGTGAAGAAAGAATCAGTAAAAAGCCATCTTTCAATTGTTCACAAACTCAGTTAAAATACATTATTATTATATTTTGATAATTTGGTGTCCGGTTTTTCGGCTAAAATCTAGAATTACATTACATATAAGAAATTTCGAATCTCAAGAGAAAATTTGGAATTATTTATTATCTGCCTTTTGAAGTTTGATGAGTCCTTCTAAATCTGACGTGTTTTTTTTTTCATTTACGCCCTCAATTATTATTTTATCGATCAACCTTTCCAGCCGATTGGCAGCTATATAAGAGTGGTATTTTCTCCTTTCAAGACATTCGCCGTTGAGTCGCTTCATAGTATATACAAGCAAAAAATGGTTTTGTCCCTAAACAGATGGGTGGGAAAGGTAGCTGTGGTGACTGGGGCGAGTTCTGGTATTGGAGCAGCTATTGCCGAGCGTTTGGTTAGGAGTGGTTTATTAGTAAGATTTTTTGCTTTATTGACCAGTTTTTAAATCAATTTGATATTTAGGTGGCTGGTTTGGCTAGGAGGGTTGAACGCGTGCAAGATTTGGAAAAGAAGCTGGAAAATGAAAAAGGAAGATTGTTCCCGTTTAAGTGCGACATGCGAGAGGAGGAAGAGGTTGTGGCGACATTTAAAACTATTAACGAAACAGTAGGCATAATACAGATTCTGATTAACAATGCGGGACTTCTTCAGCCGACTGAATTGATAGATGGGGATTATCAGAAGTGGAAAACTACTGTTGGTAAGTTATGTATTGATTATACGACATTGTGAGTTGTGCAGTACTAAGCCCAGTAGTATTAGCAGTTTTTTTAAAAAGTTTGAATATCCAAACAAATGATTTTATATTTGTCCTTACTGACTAGTGACTGATCTATCAATCAGATACTATCTTCCAGACACAAATATTTTGGGATTATGCGTCGCAACTAGAGAAGCGATTAAATACATGAAAGAACATGAAATAGAAGGACATATTATCCACATTAACAGTATCCTTGGCCACCGCGTAATTGATATGCCTGGAATAAACGTTTACGGAGCATCTAAATTCGCTGTCACAGCTTTGGCTGAGCAACTGAGGCTGGACATTTTGAGAAACAAGCTTCCTATAAGAATCACGGTGAATAATAAATTCTGCCTTTGTTATATTTGATTAAATCTCGGATTAAATACATCTCTTTTTTTAGAGCATAAGTCCAGGATATGTACACACTGAATTCGCCCAAGTGGGATGGGGGACTAATCTTGAAATGCCTGGTCTACAGTCCAGTGACATTTCTGATGCTATCGTGTATGCGATTGCCACACCCCAACACGTAAACGTAAGAAATTTTGCGATCGTTTTACATTTTTGACAGAACGTTAATTAACTTTTAAATTATTTTTAAGGTAAAGGAACTAGAATTGGAGGTGGTCGGCAGCACAATATAAATTTTATGTCCACACAAACGCCAGATATTTGCTTAGCACATTTATTCCATTATTAACAACAAACACCTAATGAAGCTATCAATTAATTGTAGGTAGGTACTCGTTTTAAAACCCTTTAAGTATTGAAATAAATGCTAAATTAGGCTAGGAGTGAAAATGGAAGTGAAATAAACTTATTTTGGAGCAAATATGCTTTTACTCATTATTTTACCCAATTGAATTAATTTAAATTATAAAATGAAAATATGATAGGACTGGTTTCAAGCTATCTGTTTGCCAAAAAAAAAAAAGAAAACATTTGCAAACAATGCAAGATGAAAGAAAAGCGGTGGTTCAAGTAGGTATCAGTAAATTTAAACTTAAGCACTTGAAATTTAAAGTCACACATGGAGTAATTTCATTTCAAATTTGGTGGAGATATATTAACATAACTTTGGAATATGTCAGATACATGAAGAGAGAGAGATATACCAGCGACTTATCAATGCAAAATATCATCACCTTTAGAAAATTTGCAAACTCCCTTTTATACAATATATTCACTCAAAAATCCAGTAAAAAAAAAAGTTACCTTATCTTTTCCTTTAATGTCAACTTCAGTCCATCTCCAAGTCAAAATCTTAGCCACCTTGGCTTTGAGTGGCGGACAACCACATCTGGGGCATTTCCAGTCGCCGTCAGGAACATCGGTCAAAGGAGGGTTCAAACAATGTGTGTGGTAAGCAGATGGACAAGAGTCACAGCAAAGGAGTTCACCACCATCTTTACATACTCTACAGAATTCCTAAAGAGAAACCAATGAAATTAATCACTTGCTAATAAACTTGAAATTTAAACAAAAAAAAAAGAACTAATTACTTGATGCTCGTCATCATCTTGATCGGCGGGGCCTTCACTTTCACAATGGGGACAGCTCCATTTGCCTTCGGGAGCTTCATCGAGCTCAGGTTCCAAACATACCAAATGGTAAGCTCTTGGGCAAGTGTCGCAAAGAATGATTTCTCCACCTTGTTGACAAACTTCACAGTAATCTTGGTGCTGAAAAAATTACATTAATTATGGACAAAAAAAAAGGTTTCCCCTCCCTACCTCATAAGGTTCTTCATCCTTCTGTTTAGTTTTCCTTTTTCTCTTTGATTTGACACCAATCTTTGTTTTGGCTTTTCGTTTAGGGGCAGCATCGTCGCCTGCTTCAGAAGTAGCTTTTGAAGAGCTAGCATCATTGTTATCACTAAAAGAAAGTTGATTTATTTCAATTTCAATCAATCAAAGTACAATAAATGTTAACTAACCTTGATTTAGACTTAGGCTCATCGGCATCTTGTAACATTTGCTCAAACTCAGCATCAGAGTCCTTTTCTGACCCTGCATTACTACCGTCATCGTCATCTGAGCTACCGCGTCTTCTTTTTCCCAGCTTAATTTTGAGAGTGGGAACCTTAGACGCCTTCTTACCCTTTCCTGGTTTCCGACCACGCTTTTTCTTCTCTCTGAAGGATGATAAGCTCCTGTCATCATCATCATCGTCGTCATCCTCATCAAAATCTTCGGCTTCAGCTTCCACAATTTTCGAAGCAGCCTCTTTAGATGCTCTAGAAGCTCTGGCTGGTTTTGAAAAGCTTTCTTCGACTACTGGTGGAGTAGTCTCCTGATTTTCAGATTGTAAGTGAGGGTTGACATTGGAAAATTCGCGCCATTTGGCAGCTACCAACATCATAAGTTTGGACATAGGAACCTGAAACAATTATACAGAAATAACGTCATTTCATTTGATTGCTAAAGAAAATATTACCTTGGGATTTTCTTTAGTAAGCAATGGTCTAACATGCTGTTGGAACAATTTGTATGAGGTTAAATTTTGCATATCTTGATCACTGTACTCAATGTCAACGTCAGTTAAATTAAAAGTGGAGCAAACTTCGTCAATAGTTGGCATACCGCCAGTATTAGATGTTTCTGTTGTAGGAGTTGAAGGAGTTGACGTAGTGTGTTTAGAACTTTTCGATTTTTTGCCAGATTTTTTACTATTTGCAAAGTCGGAGTCTCCACCATTATCATCTTCTGCGCCCTCACTTTCCTAAATAAAGCATTTGTTGAAAATCATGTACTTAAACGTAAATTAAGAAAAATATATTACCTCCCCACTCTCATTCTTCTTCTTCTTTTTCTTCTTTCTACCACGTTTACTACTGCTTTCACCTTCACTCCTCACTTTTCGTTTTTTGCCCTTTTTCTTTTTCCGACCATCTTCAGGCTCATAATCGTCATCATCTTCCTGCTGTGCACATTTTAAAATAATTTTAAGAAATAAATTGTTAATAACAGAAACTTACAGTTCCTTTTGGTGCACCCTCGTCCGATGCTTCCTCATTTTCTGGCAAATCTCCGACGGTTTCATCAGCGTTTTCCTCTTCTCCCACTAGAAGGAAAAATGTTTAGTTGTTTTTTTTATCTATCTTAAATAATGTGTCTCCATTAGAATGCTCAATTTAAACTGTTAAGATTGCCTTTTTTAGTATAGATGAAACTTACAATTTCAATGATTTTTATAATGGCCAAAGGTCACTAATTTTTGAAATTGGCATAAAGAGTAAAGGTACTAATCACAAAAGATGAACGTGGAACCTGTCAAAACATGAATGGGGAGCCCCACCCCATGCAAAAAAAACGAATTTGGATTTCAAACCGGCACGTTGGCGCTTTGATAAAGGACGACAGGACGCCCTACTCAAAGCCAAGCAACGTGGTGTCGGGATGGAGATTGGATGGGTGACCGCAGTAGTACGGGTCGGTACATCGCCCGCGCTGCTGCCAATCATCTAATCTGCAAGTATGAATGGGAAGGAGTAGACTCCATACAATGAGATACAAAAAGCCTTTAAGGCTGCAGTGTTGAGTATGGGCTCGAAAGGATGAAAAACAAACAACAAACAAGTATATTTCATGTGATGAAATTTTGATAGATTGGCATATTAAACCAATTTCTTCAAGAAGATATTACATAATTACTTTTCTTATCATTTAAGAAAAAACAAAAATAAACTTAGCTTTTGCAATGAAGAAGAGGATCACAAAAATATGTCATCCAACATTAAAAGAAAAAAAGTTAAAAATTTCTAAAAACTTATTTCTTGAGAATTCATCTTTAAAAGTTACTTAATAAACTGATTTTTTCAATTAGAAAGCAGGGTTGGCATACACAAAAACCCACCATCAATATTGACAAAAAGCAGGTGGGCTCTAGGCTTTTTGTGTCAAATACCTTGCCAAATATCAATCCAAAATCTAAGATTATTTACATTTTTCTTGTCTATATTAAACAAAATAGAAATCCTCTGGAAAAATAGACAACTATAAAATAAAAAGGAACTTTTCTCAAGAATACTACTAAATCTGGTTTGTAGAGAATTTAAATGGCTTTAAGAAGAGCTCAATTACACTGAAATCGGATGGAAAGATACTTCTTACAAACACTATGTCCATAGAAGAACAAGTAATCACATGCAAGAGACAAGAGTGCAATATACAATAGACCTAAAACTAAAAACTTACAATAGGGAAACAACAAAGACAATGCTGGTTTAAAACTCACTCAGACTAGATTTTACCTCACTCAAACTGGCTGCAAATAGGTCAAAATTAGTTTTTGACACTGCTAAATTGCACTGTTTCAGCGAACAATCCCCTGGATTTACACAAAAAATTTCAGGATTAACGAGTCTCAAATTTAGCTTAGGTACATAGGTACTTAGGTACTAGGTATTTTTAAGCATCTCAGGTACAAAAATGTTAGAACAAAAACATGGGGTCAACCCCAGTTCAAAATCGTGTTCCAGGTGATTGTCTACAAAAGTTTTGCGAGGAAAAGTTATACTTTTTCAAATGGAAAACCCTGTATATTATTGTCCCATTGGATTAGCATTTCAAACCTGATTCCAAATATACTAGGTTTTTTAAGTTTATTCTTCATAGTCCAGCCTCTAAATATCCCATTTTGAAAAAATAATATGAATTTTTTACATGAATGATTACCTTTATATTTTGCTGGTGGTATCTATACTTCACCTTTTTCAATAGGAATGCAATTATTCCTTCCCTCTCTGTCCTATTTAAATAAATAAATAAATAAATAAAAACGACTTTTATTAATCAAAATAGGTGCTGAAATTTACAAACTTGAAATAAAAATGTGCTTCAGTGTGGCGAAGTCTAGCTATTAGCTATTCTACTTAACCACTTTTCTCCTGGACTATTAGAAATAAACCAAGAAAACCTGGTATATTTGGATCAGGATTGAAAGGCTAATCCAATAGGACAATAATATACGGGGTTTTCCATCTAAAAACGTATAGTTTTGCTTCGCCACACTTTTGTGACACACCCTGTATACTTGTAACTAAGATCATTGAAAACTTTTTGATTTACCTACAACTTTCACATTTGACATTTCTGGAAATCTCTGCAAACAGGTGAGATACGTGTGGGTGCAAAATATAGACAATCACCGGGTACACAAATTTATCCAGAACGAATAGATGTTGTCACATTAACTCAGTTACTAGAAGGACAAGTTACAACATACCAACAGTCAGAGACCAACTGGCACCAAAAATCACGGTAAAACAGAGAACAGACACCATACCAGAACCCGTTCTTGAACTTAATCAAGGAGAGCAACAGTGTCAAAAGAGCATGGCAGAGGCGCCCGAACATACAGAACGGACAAATCATCAAATTGCTAAATAAAGAAATAGACAGATATATACGGATTCACAGAAAATAAAACCTGGATGAAGTATATCTTGTCGCCTCACGACAACGACACACACCACAATATAGCGGACGTAACCGACGCCTTTGTCAGGCTCAAATACCCAATTCCTCCGGCAGTGCACCAACGGATTCTGACAACTCCCGCAGAACTGACCAAAACTATCAAACAACTACTGAACAGAAAGGCACCAGGCCCAGACACCATTACCAACATACTAATTGAAAACTTACCGCGGAAAACTGTTATGCACCTGCTGCAAATCATATCACATACTCACCCTCCAGCATTTCTCACAAACGTGGAAAAACGCACACATAATAGTTTTCCCCAAACCTGGCAGAGACCTTACGCAACCGAAATCATACAGACCAATCTCTTTACTGAACTCACTGAGCAAAGTAGCAGCTACGCAGACTCACCGAGACAATAAACAACCTGGACTGTCTTCCACCCGAACAATTCGGGTTCCGACAACAACACAACACCACACTGGGAGTAACGAAGGTAGCTCAAGAAGCAACCATCGCATTCAACAAACTGGAAAGCACCTTCCTACTGTTACTTGACATTGAAAAAGCATTTGACCAGGTGTGGTATAAAGGCCCTATTTACAAACTGCTGACGATACACAACTTCCCCCTACAGACAGTCTCTCTGATTGCATCCTACCTAAACGACCAAACGTTTGCAATCAAAACAGGACAAAATCTCACAGACAAAACTCATCAAGGCTGGAGTTCCACAAAGTACCGTCCCCTTTCTAACTCTATTTAGCCTCTTTATTGCAGACATCCCGAAAACCCCAAACACATAAGCATCATGATGTACGCCAACGATACGGCTATCTACACCAGCGCCTTTTTCGCAGAAGTCGTGAGAAGGGCAATGGTGGACCACCTAGACCAGCTTACACGGTATCTCCAGAAATGGAAGGTTAAGCCAAACCATGACCAGGAAAATGGCAAATAACATGATGATGCCACCCCCAACTATCGAAAATACGGTCCTAACACCGAAATACTTGGGGATAGTCCTGGATAAGACCCTAAGGGACTATCCACAGGTAGAGCAGACACTCCAAAAGCCTCACGCCGCCGAACGTCTGCTCGGCCCAATCATGAGACCGGGATCTTTCCTCACCCCAAAGAATAAAATACAACTGTAAAGGACAATCATCTGACCAACCCTACAGAACACCCGCCTGGAACCACATATGCAACACACAGAAACAAAAACTACAAGTGTACCAAAACAAGACTCTAAAAACAGCCCTCTCCCTACCTCGGGACACTAGGACTGTGGAAGTACATAGACTCGCAAAAATTGACAGAATCCTGGATTATTTTAACGAAGTTTCTTTGAAACTTTGCATACATAGTATGTGACTAACCCATCTACTTTGAATACCTGGAACCGCCTTGATCGGGAGAACAGTGAAAATACCTGAAAAGGGCAGCACGCTATTTTCAACACAAAACATGCGAAAAATCTCATATCGCAAATCGAAAGTGCACTTCAAAAGGTGCAAATCTGATGCACACACTGGCCAGTGACATTTAACGCTCTCTGCTTGCCTGATACAAGCGTTACGCGACAGACACACATACCAAAGAAACGTTGAAAAGGGTTTTTCCCTTTATCACCAACATGGAAACTACAGAAGGAACAATAAAATTTAACGAGACAGGATTTAAAAGTCGAGGGCGAGAATTGATCTAAAAGGGGCTTCATTATTTTGTAATATACAGAATGGTTCGAAAAAAAGTTTGAAGCATGTTTTCAAAAATTTAGTGAGAATGATTTCTACTGCTCTTGGTCAAATTTAGTTTTAGCTCATTTTTTTAGAGTTGTTAAAATTTGTGCATTTTCTTCAGTCAAATTCGTGGAAAAGTAACTTTTTTCACTTGCACTAGCAGTAATCTCTGGGTCGATATCATGGGATTTTTCATTAGTCAACATACTGGTCTTTCGGGCCTTCCTTTTCTTCTTGAAATATTTAGCGATCATTTTTATGATTTTCTTGTCGCCTCCGATAAATCTGAATACATTGGGGTTATCAGTAAAATGACCAAAGTACTTTTGGTGATCCTCCCTATCAAGGATATATGGCAGGTCATCTTTTGCAAATTGTTCCATCTCCCATATTACATTGTCATCAAGTTTCGCCAAAAGACCAGCGTCTTGGTAGCCATATATGGCTATCATGTTTTTTATTGATTCTGGAATTTGGATGCCTAGAGCAGATTCTGCCTCAGAAAAAACATCAGTGTTCTGTTGATCAACCTCCTGAAATGATAAGGAATAGGTAGCTTCAAGAGACATGGGGAGATAAATCAGATCAATTTATTGTATGCAACTTACCTCCATCGTGATACTGAGTTTTCAATAATTCACCTTGTAATTCGCCTTGTGGTAATGAATTAATACAGCTGAGGTGTAGGGCAGATTTCTAGGACAAAATATTTTTATGTTATCAGCACATAAAGTAGAGCTTTATTGGGCGACTTTTTTTATGGCCTAGGGAGGCTATAAAATGAAACTAACCCAACTCCAAATATTTACAAATAGATAACGAGTTAGTAAGGGCCAAAGAGGGCATCCTGTTGCTTGATGAAAAACCGCTGATAAATCAAGAAGATCACATT